TGTCCCAAACGTGTGGTGTAGCAGTTGCACCTATATATCCCCCCCCATGTCGCTTAGTGATGAGGAACATATACGTTATTTGTGGAAGAATGTGAATAGTTTAAGGTAGTTATTTCAATGTCGAATGGTGGTTGTAGTTGTAATGGTGGCACTGGACCACATAATAAGGTTACTTGCCCACCGGGTAACCTGAAAGAATGTATCGATTGGATTCTGAGGGTGACGAATAAGGATGATACGAAGAATGGTGATCAGAATGGTAAGGAACTGGGAGAGGCTGTGGTGAAGTTACTTGAAGGAGCTACGAAATACCTGGATAGTTTAACTAATGGTAACAATGGTGGTGCCACTGAGAAACTCACAAAGGATAAAGATGTGCTTCAAGCAGTTAACGGTAATGGTCAATTGATCACCAAATTGGCCGATAACTTGCAAAAGTTCATTGGTTACAATAATGGTGGTGGTACCTTGACCGGCAATGGTATTGGTAACCAAGGTACTAGTGGTGGTGCTGGCCAGAAATACACCTCTACCTATACGGGTGATTGGAATTCTGTCGGAAATGAACAAAACAAACAACTTTGCGCTCGCATCTTCCTCGGCACTATCCCCGTAATGTTTTCCGGTTTGAGTTATTTGTATTGGCAATGCAATACGGGTAATGGTCGTGGTGATACTAGATGGTCCACTCATCAAATTAACAAACCCCCCCTCGGCATATATCTTGTCTGCTCAGGCTATGATAGTAAACAACTAAATCAGAAAGGTTCTGGTTCTGGTGGCAAAAATATCACCGGTACGGAAGTAGCTAAGTTACTCAAAGAGCTGTTCTCCGATAACAACGGTGCTACCAAAGTCTCCAACCCCTACCCCGAGTACATCAACGAAGTACTAAAAAACACCAACACAACATCACCTGACACCCACCCCCTCTCCAGTCTCTACCTCGCATCACAATATTATTTCCAATATAAATTCCATCCCGGGTCCCCTAATCGGGTCCCCTGTAGTATAAGGGAAATGCTATACTGGCTCATGGCTCTGCCATATAGTGGTTGTTTTCCATTGGCACCAGAAGTTATCAAAAAGAGTATTGATAAGATTACTGAAAATGCTGACATTAGTGGTGGGGAGCATGGTGGTATTATACCATTCAAAGATGTCACCTTGAAATCTTCTGATCCCCTCGACTGTCTTATATCCACATCATGTCATTACGCCGCTGTGGTACTATCCACTATGCAAGGGAAATTGTCTAGTCCCAAAACATCCACAACGACAACTGACACTCCCCTTGGCAATCCAACCAATATTCACGACATCTACTCGAATACTGCCTTCAACTTTGAATATCCCACAACCGCAGGTGCATTATTCCCTGTTCTATGGGATATAATTTACTGTTTATTGTCTCAATTATATTTCCTCCGAAGACTATGTCAATTCAAATTGGGAACTGGTTGCGGTTGGTTGTATTGTAAATACGGGAAAGACGTAAAATATGACAACCTTAAATCTTGGATTTGCACTGTTACCCCAGGTGAAACACATAGTTCAGGTAGTGGTGGCAACACTTGCACAGAATCCCAACAACACATCAACAATTGCGGCCAATCCCATGCCTCTCCCTCCCCCCTCCAAGCTTTCCTATGTGATTATCTTACACCATTCCAATGCGAATCACTTAAAAATAAAGAATGTCACATGAAGAATGGTCAACTTGTATCGACAAATGGTGTCACCACTGTACCATATAGTGACCATGTTTCCCATCGCAATTTCAATCAATATTGCCCCGTCCCTATGGGATTCAACAAGGAACTCCTCCCACAAAATGGTCGTACTGGTCACTACATCTATGAGATACTTGATTACTTCACCCAAGATGACCGTAACTACGTCAGTTTATACAATATAACTTTATGCCTGCTTATTGTATGTAAACGAACACCAAGAACGGTGGGCGATCTCTTTGGGTTTTTCTTGTATCTTGATGAGAATATGGAAACTGCCATCAATACCGAATCTATGAAAATACCATGGAGCAATGGTTCCAACTCCATCACTACCGCTGTCGAAAATCTTGGCAAAGACCATGACGAGGACTCTGACGATGCCTCTCACCCCGCCAACCTTAACACCCTCCGTTACAGTGATTGTGATACCACGGGCGTAACCTGTGGCAAGTACCTTGACCCCCTGTCATTCCTTATCTATTGCAACGTCTCCGTAGCTTTCGCTATGTCCTATTTATCACGTATTGTCTATCTAACGGATGTACTCAAAGATGGTCTAAAACAGTTACAGAAGGATTTCCAAAAACTGAAGTGTAAGCATCATAATAATAAAAGTTGCAATGCCGGTTGCCACGAGTCAAACAGTTGCCAATGTCCTACCATCGTCGAATGCAGCGAAGTCCTTGGTCTCTTATACAGCTACGGCCTCCATTACTATTATCCAGAAGTGTTGCATAGTGGCACAGGGGAAGACCCTGAGCAAAAACGCCAATGCAACGATTTCTCCACTCAACTCAACGCAGTCATCACCGGAAACCTCTTCGACGACCTCCTCAAAGAAATCAACAAATTCCTCACCTGCATCCGCAAACCATTCCTCTACTACCTCCTAACATTCTGGCTTATAGCCATTCTGTACTTCAGCTACGGACTAACAATACCTCTGGACCTCCTCCACATCCGTTCACATTTGAGACCCGCTTTGTCCCATCAAATATCGGTGTTGGCGTTATTATCACACAAGGCAATGGCACCAACAAAGGTTGGGTATTTCACACCGTAAGATGTCATCACATATCAATGTAATGTTATCAAATCTCTGTTCGTGTGTATTAGGCAGATTGATGGTTTCACAAAAATTTCGTGTTCTACACCCCTTCCGCATGCACGGCACAGATATTCAGATAAAGTGTGTGGCTACCTACCCCATCGAAGATGTGTGGAGAAACACACTACATGGTAGACATCGTAGTGAAGATGAAGACATACAAATAGAACCGTAGGTGAAGTCTGTTGTTGTGTTAAGGCGGAAGACGCCGAGGTTGGATACAATCT